TATCGGATTGTTTATTTGCACTTCAACGAAACCTCCCGATTTGCGTGATTTGCGTTAACGAGAGTGGATTTGAGAATATGCAAATTAGGCCAATTCCCGCAAACTGCGTGTCTTTGCTGTGTGGCCTGTTCGTTATTATGCAAATCAGTGGTACAGTTTGTTTTCAAGATGGCTTCCTCGCATGTTATTGAATGTCCCGAAAGTTACGACAGCGAATTTGCAGATGTTTTCGAAAATTTAGAGCACATTTCTGACGATGATTGGGCAAGTGAAGATGGGGATGACAGTGATTTTGATTTGGGTGAACCTAGTTCTAATAACACGAAGGCGAAGAAGGTGGGAAGACGCGACCTCAAACATTTAGACGAGTACATCGGCGTAACTACGACCAGTACTTCAGACGACATAGTGCGTAAGATGTTCACCTGTCATGTATGCTGCAAAACTTTCAAGACAAAACGGGGCTGTAAATTACATCTGACCAATGTACATAAAGTCAATGGTAAGTTTATATTTCAGTATTACCCGCCACGTACACGTATTTGACAACAAACGCGGACACGCATTGATTGTTCTATGTCTACAGAAATACAGACAGGTGACGAAATAGACTAGCACTATGTTCTTTTACCGAACATGTCACAGCCAGTACCCTACCGCTCGAGATTAATAACTGTTATCGTTGTCGAAAATCAGACTCATGATGATTTTTTCATGCTTACCAATGTTATTTGTTTTGATGCCAAAATAGTGCTTAAATGCTATCTTCATAATTATTTATAGATACTTGTGGTGACATTAAAATAGCTGGGAGATATGCAGAGCAAGGCATTACCAAGCAAAGAAAGACCAAAGGTACGTTATAATTTTTATTGATATTTTATTTTCATTCCATACTTCCTTCAATCATTATTGATGACTACATTTTCTACATCCTGAGGAATAAATATTTATTTCTAGATGATGGTGACCAGCTGATGGTGACAGTGCTGAGATTAGCAGAAATGATGTAAATAATAGTACCAAAAAAAAACAATGGTGTGTTTGTAAATGTTTTTTTTTACCTGTTTCACAAGACAGAGACAAACAAAATTAATTCCATAACTTGATCTCTAATATAACCATTAGAATTGATCATTAATTTGTATTTGTGCAAATTTCAGTAGGAGCAAAATCTAAGCTGCGCTGCACTACAGAAACCCCAAGGGTAGAATAGAATAATTTACAGAATTGGCATTATGAATAAGAATGACACCCATCCAAATATTATTGCCTATAGTGTTAACTTTTTTATTCTAATTTTACAGGGCGAATACATATCCCAACGTATACACTGTATCATGTTATGGTGGATGGGAAACAGTTATTTATACAAGCTATGAGCAAGTTACAGACAAGTGATATTCTGAATAGCAGAATATTATTAGGGGTGGCTAAAACAAAAACAGCAGTCACTGCATTAATTGATGGGGTAGCTGATGTGGAAGAAGGGATTATTTCTTTCATTAAAGTTCTGTGGCCAGCAGTAACTGGAGGAGATGGTAAACTTCTCTACACCAGTCGCAGAGAAGCCATCTACAGTAGTTACCACTCGGTGAGGTTGTCACCAGAGTTAAAGCAGACCGTGACTTTATTGCTCAATAAAGTGAATGCACCAGTTTCAGCAGCTATTATTATGAGTATTAGCAGAGTGTTTTTTGATGAGATTCTGCTTGCCCGTGAAAGGAAGGAGCTAAATGATGACAATAATCAAGCCACAAAAATGACAAATATTGAGGAGAATGCACTGAGGTATGCATGTGGGTATATCCCAATGGCATTATCAAAGCAACTACAGCGCCGTGGACCAGCTTTTGGATCAATGGTCAAAACCCTCTCTGCAACGAAGACCACAGGAACTGAATCAAAGACATTCCTCTCTTACACAACTGAGTGGGTTGAGAAGGAAAATCGTGGTGGTCTTTTCCCTATTAATGACACAGCATATCTTTTTTTTCGTCGAGTTGAACACTTTATTCGGCTCCATTTCACTCAGAGACATAATAGAAAAATACATGATTCTGTGACAGAGTCTATGTTGGCAGATAGGGTGGCCTTGACATACTGGTCACAGCTTTCAGCTGGTTTGAATGACAGTGCTTCACTACAACTTATGTGTATGTGCATAAAACTACTGGTAAATATCCGTGGTCATTCAACAGCACGCAAAATCATTGAGGAATTCAAACTGAAAGCGGCCAATTTATCGAGAGACTCTAAAGGTATTCGTAAAGAACTGAAGTAGCGTGGACAGTTTAAACCCTGACCTAATGTTTTGATACTGGAATCTACTTTAAACAGGTCAGGGGTCAGTTTGTAAAGTTTTTTATTTGTAAATAAATAAAATTATGTTTTCAATCGCCATATTGTCTGTTTAATTGAAGAATGAGTTAGGAAATTCTACATGTTTGGTGGTACTGCTCCTTGATTTCACTAAAATATTTAAATTTCAAATTATTAATAATGTCACAGAAATTTGCTGATACCAGCACAAATGACATGAAATTATAAAGATCTCTAGTCAATACTTAGGTCATTTTGCCTGTAAGAAAATGGGAATGTACTTGATAACACAAGTGCATTGAGAGTCAAATTATTTTATTCAAACTTAAGATATTGGCAAGCAATTAAAAATGTTTTCAAGGTTGGGTAAAATAGTGAGATTCAATTGGAACAGTTGCTCACCAAATTGTAACTTACTAACATGCCATTTTTAAAAATATACTTTCACAAAAGTGGTGCAATTTTTTTCTGGTGAAGTAATTTATATACATTTTATAATTATGAAGATGCCAGCTTGTTTGAAATAGTATTTTTGACGACCCTCCCTCCACACACAGAAAGCACTATGCGGTCACTTCCCCACATATTGTGCGTGTCCTGCACCTGAAACTATTACTCCCACATTTACTTGGACAATATTGGATTTTAATATTGACCATGAACACATGGCATTTGGTATCACTATTTTTTTACAGCTGATTTCATACAATCTTTGCTGTTCCATCCTCTGGCCCAATGAAATTAACACTATTGAATGTAAATAAACCTCATCACAAAAGTGTGGCTGGCCAATCAGCATACAAATTTGTTGTGGGGTCATATGCACATTATGACACATTCCAAAAATCACTCTCACAATGGTTGCATGTCTGTATGTTTATTTGTCACAAATACACCAAGAACATCCCTGCCAAATTCAAAGCAATCAATAGTATTTCTGACCAATATAGCATGTTAATTTAAACTCCAAAAGCAAAAAATACATTTAATCAGATGTTGACAAAGGCCCTTTTATACAAAAATAGATCGTGCTTATAATGTCACAAAATCTGAATTTATACAGTGTTGTTACGGCGACGGTTAGGCAGTGGTGTGTTGTCAATTACAGAATCAGCTTGGATCAACACATTTCCTCCTTCAACTCTTAG